ACTCAGCCTTTCCTGCATCAGCATTACCTGAGAGCTTGTTAGAAATGATCAGAAAGTTACTTAGAAACGTGTGTCTTCCAGATACACAATTTCAACTCAGGCATTCTTGCATCAGCATCACCTGGGAGCTTGTTAGAAATGCAGAATCTCACACTCTACTCAGACCTACTGAATCAAAATCTGCATTTTAAAATGATAACTGAGTGATTTGTATGCACATTAAATCCTGAGAATCACTGCTTCTATAGCATGAGAATCAGGCATCAGAATCACCAGGATGGCTTGTTAAAATATAAACTGGCAGGGTTTCTGATTCAGTAGGTCTGGAATGGGGCCCAAGAATTTGCATTTTTAATACCTTAAGAACTATTAAAATTTTTACTAGGGACTCTGACTTTAATCACATTCTGTTTATGATTATCTATTTCAGGTTTGTTTTTAATCTCACCAGTACGACTATACTTTCTTGTGTTTCTTTTTTTGGCAGCTTTATTAAGCTACAATTTACGTACTACATAATGCACCCATTTAAAGTGTATAATTCAATGATTTTTATTATATTCACAGCTACATGCAACTATCACCACAGCCAATTTAGAACATTTTCATCATTTCATAAAGAAACCAATACACAGAACACAGAGGATTTTTAGGGCAGTGAAACTATTCAGTATGACATAACGGTGGATATATGTCATTGTATATTTTTCAAAACCCATAGAATGTATAACATCAAGAATGAACACTGGGCCAGGCGTGGTGGCTCACACCTGTAATCCTAGCACTCTGGGAGGCTGATCCGATTGCTTGAAGTCAGGAATTCAAGGCCAGCCTGAGCTATAGCAAGACCCAGTCTCTATTAAATATAGAAAAATTAGCCAGGCATGGTGGCGAGTGCCTATAATCCTGGGAGGCTGAGGCAGGAGGATCTCTTGAGCCCAGTAGTTTGAGGTTGCAGTGAGCTGTGATGATGCCACTGTACTCTGGACCATTTGACCCTGTGTGTCTAAAAAAAAAATTAAGAGTGAACCTTAATGTAAACTGTGGACTTTGGGTGATAACGATGTGTTGTGTAGGTTTATCAATTTTTATAAAGGTACCACTCTGCTGTGCAATGTTGATAGTGGGGGAGGCCTGTACATGTGTAGGATAGGGGGATATATTGGAACTCTTTACTTTCTGCTCAATTTTGCTGTGAACCTAAAACTGCTCTAAAATAAAGCCCATTAAAAAAGAAAGAAACCTCATACCCTTTAGCTGTCATTCCCCCATCTCTACATCCCACCAAGCCCTAAATAAGCACTAATTTTCCAATCATTAATCTTTTGTATTTCTTTTCCATTGTGCAAGTACTTGGCAAGGTGCTAGGTGTATTATTATTTTTTTTAAGAGCTTAATATATACAAACAATTGCATCTTCTAACTTAATCCTCATGACAACTTTATGAGGTCCAAGTGTTTATTGTCATCTCAAAGCTAAAGATACTGAAATTTAAGTTAGGTTAAACAATTTGTAACATAGCCAGTAAATGGTGAAACTGACGTTGTATCCTAGGTCTCTAATCCCAAAACTCATGCTCTTAACCTTTATACCATAATATGTATTGTGGCAAACTGAATTTTTGAAGCTACACAATCTCTATGAGAAATTTCACCAAGATATTTTAAAACATAGTGGAAATGCTTAAGTTGTTTGGACATGCTAGCTCACTCACAAAATTTGCTCTATGTTCCACATTTGGTACTATTACAGGATTATGTATGTTTGTACTTTCATCTTTTATACTAGTCTTCCCCTAAAATTTGTGTTTTGTCATAGTAATTCCCATACCAATGAATTTTGCTTTTATCATTAATGAATTTTCTACAATTATAGAAAAACTTATATAATTCCTTTATGGCACTAAATCTTACTCAATTTGAATTTCTTTGTATATCCTTGGACATTTAAGCTTTTAAAAAATTTTAATACTTTTTGTAATTAAAAAGTGACACAGAATATTATGCAGTTATGTGAAAGGAGGTAGTGTATATTTATCAATATGGAAAATCTAATACGTATTGAAATTTTAGAAAAACTACAGAGCAATATGTATAATATGACGCCATATGTGTAAAACAAATATATGTGTGTATATATACATCTTAAATGTTCATAGTGTCAAGAAAGATATAAAAGAAACCCCTGACAGTGTGACTGTGAGAGCCAAGATGAGAGGAAAGGAATTTATATATCTTTCTATTCTGTCTGAATGTTTTTCCTATTTCTCCCCCACCCCCAATATTTTCACACCCTCATCTTTGCCTTCGATTTCCTCTCACTACTTTCTTTTAGTAGCCTCTTTGTGTATCTCTCCACACCTTTCTTCAGGCTCATATAAATGTATAGATATATGTAGGGGCTTTTGGGGAGATCATTATGTAAAAATAGGATTACACCATAAATATCTCTCTGGAACTTGCTTTTCTCACTATGGACATCTTCTGTTTCTAGAAATAGGTGTAGCTCTTTATTTGAGTAGCTGTGTACTATGCACATCATAACGTAGTAAGCACCTTATTGGTATGAGTTGTTTTTTCTTTTTGCTATAACATAATATTGTAGTGAGTGTTCTTATACATTTATCTTTGTGCATTTGTGTAATATATCTGTAGGATATGAATCAGAGGGTACTATGAATTAAAATTTTTGATAGATGCTGCTGATTATCTAGTAAAAAGGTTATACCATTTCAGCAGCAATGTGCACAGTTAGAACCCAGATCCTGATCTAAATACCTTTCCTCTCCAAAAGGAGTTTAGTGGAAGGGCTGGTTCCAGTAAGGACAAGCTCAGCCTAAGATATCTTATGCCAAAAAAACAAGAAGTCCTCAAAGACTAATGGATACAAAGAGCCAGCTGGATGACGCTCTAATGGCGGAATTTGGGGAAATTTCAATATCAAACAATTAATTGTAATTATACCACATTGAATTTTTTAAAAAAATCAATGAGTTTCTAGTGATACTAAACAAAGATGATAGAAGGAGAGAGTAAAACTGTTTTAAGAAGAATGCTAGCTAATAAATGTAGAAGGAATGGTAATATTAAAAAACATTCACCATTTTGCAACCCCCAACGTTATACGTAAAATTAAGTTCAGGCAAGGGTCACCATAAAGACTAAAGCCTTGGTGAGAAGTTGTTGGGCTTTTCACATGGTACCACCAATCACAAAGGGAAAAAATATACCTTTACACTCGGGAAATCCTACAGGTGCTACCTTAACCAGTACCTTAGCCAGATGATCAAACTCTACATCACTAATGATGGGAAATCCCAATGTTATGTGCCATTTTGTTGGATGCAGGAAGAACCACCCAATTCACTTATGAAGTATTTTTCCCAAAAATGTTTAACGTAAATTTAATCAACTCTCATGTTTATCTGCAGGATTACCTTCTGTAGTTAGAATTGTAGACTATGTGACCTTAGGTAGGTTATATGAGTAACTTGAGTCTCAGAGTGCTTGTTTGTAAAACAGTGACATTGAATCAGATAAATGTATGAAAATAACCTAGCATGTTGTTTGTTATATAGTAGGAACTTAATGTGTTAGTTCAGCTCTGCTGTCAGAATCCATTTATGACCACCAAGTATGTAGCCGAATATTATAAAAACTACATTTCTCGTTTTTACATCTGATTTCCTTATCTAATTGTTCTGTGTAATTTGATGGCATATTTTGTGAATTCCCTACACTCCCTTACATCCATAAGCTAATGAAGCCCCAAGTATGCCATAAAGCCCTCTAATCTAAAATGTTCTACGGACATTTTAAGTAGGACAGCATGGATTTGAACATTTCTATATTCATTAGAAATTTAGGTTGACTTCTATGAAAATACTGATTTTGTAGATTAAAAATCGTCAAATATCAGCAGTTTCATGTGGTTTAACCTAATTTGTACTTTAGTGGCAGAGGCTTGGTGCATCATCTTTTTTTGCCAAATAACCTTTTTTTTTCTTCCTTATGGTTTTAGAAAAACATTTGCTCGAAGGAGGAGACAGGCAGGATTTGTACTGAGCCAAGTTTGAAGGAAATTGTGATATGGCGTGGTATTTTAAATATTTTAGGATGTTTCTTCATTTCATATTCTTCCTTTCCCACTACCCATGCCATGTACAGTAGTTATTCTTTTCAATCACTTCTTACCTCTTGCCTTTTCAAGTAGTGGGAAATGAAAAAAAAAAGGGAAGAAAATTATTCTAGCTCTTCTTTTTCCTTACTTTAGACTCTAGATTGGTCTTTTCGAATAGGCAATTGCAGAATCTTGAAAACTTAAGCCAGAATAATTTACTTCATGTTCCAGCTGGTTCTCTTCTAAAGATAGCACTTAGAAATAATAATGTACTTTTTTTTTTTTTTTACCCTAGTTACTAGTAGAATATGGAAGGTAAGACAGGTTGAGGGATTTTGAGTGCATTTTCTTTTATAGAACATAAGCAATTAAGTAATAACTCATAAATAAATTGCAAAGGAAAGTTTCAGGCTGTAAGGGAGTATCAAAGTTGTTACATCACAGCAAGATCCTCCCTGGAATATGGCTTTTATAACAAGGGCATGACTGTTATTCCTATAAGAAAGTGACCTACTCTCCTTAAAAAATGTATTCTGGGTAAATGTGTATAGTTTTAGTATTCCCAAGTCTTCTTTTTGTTTCCTCAAACAAGAAGAAATAAATTCATTGGAGGACCTTCTCTCCTAAGGAGATGTGATCAAAGCTGAATATATTAATAAATCGCTTTATTAAAATCTTTAGTTTTTAGCTGGGCGTGGTGACGCTCACCTGTAGTCCCAGCTACTTGGGAGGCTGAGAGTTGAGGCAGGAGGATCGCGTAAGCCCAGGAGTTTGAGGCTGCAGCGATCTATGATCCAGAGTGAGCCCTGTCTCAAAAGAAAATCCTTAGTTGTGGCAAGCCAAATTATTGCCAGTGTGAACGTTATTGTTTGTGTCCTAGACAGCTGCTCAGGAAGCAATCCTGCATGCATCTGGAAATGGCACACCTTTACCATCTAAGGACTACTGCATGCTGTATAACCCTCATTGGACAACTCTTCCACGTACACTAGAAAATGCAGTAAGTAAATCACAGTTACTATTCATAAGCACAAAAATATTGACAAAGTAAGAATGAGTGGTAATTATGTTTTAATATGTGAAACAGTTGTAATATATGGTGATTAATAAGTAATTATTTTATAGATTTTTCTCAAGTATTTATCTCTCTGAGAAAATAAGAGAATTTTAAAATACTTACCTGGTGTTTGTCATGAAATATTTCTAATTTTAAAGAACATTGTGTTAAACCAATATTGATATCTTATAAATGAATGCATTTAGGGTGACTTATGATATGTTAAAGACATTTCTTATTTTCAGACTTCCATCAGTTTGATGAATCTGACTTCTACACCACTGTGCAACCTTTCTGATATTCCTCCTGTTGGTGTAAATAACAAAGCAGTTGTGGTACACTGGGGAACCTGCCATTTTCTTGAAAAAGCCAGAGTTGCACAGAAAGGAGGTGCTGAAGCATTGTTGGTTGTCAATAACAGTGTCCTAGTAAGTTATAAAACTATCATAGCTTCTTTTGAGCTCGTGACATCAAATTTCACAGAAATTGAATTAATTTCTTTGTGGTTTAGGGGCTGCATTTTGAATAATCTGATGGTATGATTCTTTGAAAATAAACATTCAAGATCTGATAGACATTTAATTGGGAAGTTTTGTAGTCTTCGTTCTATTCCTAGAGTAGACAAGACTTTGTTAGGAGCAAATATATATATGTATGTGTATATGTGTATTATGTATACATTATATGATATCTATATTATATATCAGTTTAAGTGCATGTTAAAAGGCATTTATTTTGAGAGCTTATATAATATTAAGAAAGAATACCTGAAACTTTGATTTATAACATAAAGAAAGATGTAATATTTATATTTAATAGAATAGTTTGCATTTTGTTCTGTAAATATATTAGTAGTTAATAAGTTTTCATAATATTATTTTCTTTTAGTTTCCTCCCTCAGGAAACAGATCTGAATTTCATGATGTGAAAATACTGATTGCATTTGTAAGCCAAAAAGACTTTAAAGATATGAAGCAGGTAAAGTACTAATTACAGATTAGATGAAGTTTATAAATAGTACACCTCTTTACTTTTAATCACTGATATTGAATTTTGAGTATTATATATGCTCCTTTTGTTAACAAGAAGCTATGAAAGCCTACCAAGTTTTTATCTAAAAATTACTAATCTCTCATTTGGCACAAAGTACTTCAAAGCCTGAACTTTAAAAAGGATGTTTATTTGTTTTGAGTGCTTTCCTGCCTTATCGTTTATCTTAACTTTAAATCCCTGGACAAGGCCAGGCGCGGTGGCTCACACCTGTAATCCTAGCACTCTGGGAGGCCGAGGCGGGCGGATTGTTTGAGCTCAGGAGTTCAAAACCAGCCTGAGCAAGAGCGAGACCCCGTCTCTACTAAAAATAGAAAGAAATGAATCGGACAACTAAAAATATATAGAAAAAATTAGCTGGGCTTGGTGGCGCATGCCTGTAGTCCTAGCTACTCGGGAGGCTGAGGCAGTAGGATCGCTTGAGCCCAGAAGTTTGAGGTCGCTGTGAGCTAGGCTGATGCCACGGCACTCACTCTAGCCCGGGCAAAAGAGTGAGACTCTGCCTCAAAAAAAATAAAAAAATAAATCCCTGGACAAAATGTGATTGTGTGGAACACTGCACTTTCAAGATCTTATAAACCAAAGCATATCCTCATACTTTTGACTAGAGAATATATCATGTGGTCAAACAATAGTTCCAGTCTTCTTGGCTGTCTGACGTGTAGTAGCCATTCCAGAGTGAAATGTGGACTGTTGCTGCCATACTCTGTAGTAGAGAGAAAAGTTATTCCTGTGTTTAACTTTTATTTTGCCTTCCAGACTCTTGGAAATAACATTACCGTGAAAATGTATTCTCCGTCATGGCCTAACTTTGATTATACCATGGTGGTTATTTTTGTCATTGCTGTGTCTACTGTGGCATTAGGTGGATACTGGAGTGGACAAATTGAATTGTAAGTTTAATTAAACTTTAGTGTTTTGTAATAAATAGGTAAAAAATAATTGTTTTGTAATCATTTTAATTATATAATAGCATTTTAAAATTTTGCCTGTCCTCAGAATATGATGCCAATAAGACCAGATTGCAGGTTTGTCCTCATATTGGTCATTTAATATTTCACCAAGAAGAAGAGGGTCATAGGTTCCTTTAACTCTTCTTCTGGCAGGGAAACATTGAAGTCACATTAAGGACTCTTTTAAGTTAAAGTGTTTAATTCTCTCCCCCAGGAAAGGTCAAAATACTTAATATCTAACATGCCTATTTATTTAAATTGGAAGAAAATAAGCAAGAGAAGGTAGGGAGTTTTTCAGCTCCTCCTGGGTTGGGTCTTTACAGTGTGCCCTCATCATTCTGTTTAATGCTTTAGACATTCTAAGGATATTAGGCATGTCTATATTTTAGTTTAAATGTAGAAATTCCAAATGTACATAAAATTTGGATTTTCTATTTAATAGGAACCCGAACGCAGTCTCCCTATAGTTTTATACCTTTGGCTCTAGATTAAAACAGACAATATAGTAAGTATGGAAGAGTCAGTTTATATTCATAACTCTGAATGAAAAAAATGTGCCCAAAGCATACTATTCATATATAAAGGGCAATATGTTTGCCTTGTAAATTGATCTATAGATTCTATTAAAAAGGGCTTATGTGTAACTAAATGAAGCTAAACTTATTCACAATTTCTTAAATACTAACATTTGGTTGACTTACATCAAGAGGGAAATCTTAGAGTTTAACAAGTGTAGGTTCCTGGAGTGTTGAGCGTTAGACATTTTATATATTTGGAAAGCATATTTCAACATATATCAGTCACATTTTCCATGAGCGTATGTACAGTTTTTTCTTCATTATTAATCTTTATAAAACATAGTATGTGAGATCTCTAAGAGCTCTAAGATCATTTTCTATATTGGTGTAATCTTAGAAATAATTTTCAAAAAGCTGTTGATTCATTGAAAATGTTTTCCTATTTATGTAGATTCTCACTGTACTTACTATGTAAATTATTTTTTTCTAGATTAGTGCTTCTCTAACTGTCATGTGCATACTTACTATCTGGAGATTTTGTTAAAATACAAATTCAAATTTAGTAAGTTGTGAATAGGGGCCAAGATTCTGCATTTTTTTAAGTTTTATTTTTAGAGGCAGGCTCTCACTCTGTCAGGCTGAAGTGCAATAGTGCCATTATACCTCACTGTACACTTGAACTCCTGGGCTGAAGCAATTTCCTGCCTCAGCCTCCCAAGTAGCTGGGACTACAGGCATGCCTGGCTAGTTTTTTTATTTTTTATTTTGTAGAGATGGGGTCTTGCTATGTTGCCCAGGCGGGTCTTGAACTCCTGGTCTCAAGCAATCCTCCTGCCCCAGCCTCCCAAAGTGTGGGATTAGAGGCATGAGCCACCATGCCTGGCTAGATTCTGCATTTTTAAACAACTCCCAAGTCATTTTGCTGACCCATGGACCACACTTTGAGTTAGCAAGCAAACTTCTTTACATACATGTTAGGACAGACTCCTCCTCAAGAAAATTAGAGATTGAAGAGAAATACATATCAGCTTTTTTATTCATAAAATATAATGATGGGGCAGAAACAGAGTTTGTTGGCTTCAATAACCAGATTGTGAGAGATGTTCCATACGTGCAGGATTATGGATTTTAAAATTGAGGGGGCTAATTCTAAGAGCAAAATCAAGATAGAAAGAAGTGTATGTAGGAGGGGAAGGAGGTGGTGACCATATTGAGAACGAGAATATGAATCAGTGATAAAAAGTTCCATAAAAAGAATTATTAAAAACATAAGGGGCTAGGTGCAATGGCACACACCTATAATCCCAGCTATATTTGGGAGGCTGAGGCAGGAGAATCACCTGAGTCCAGGAGTTTGAGGTTGCAGTGAACTATGATGATGATACTACACTCTAGTGGGGCAAGGGGGTGAGACCCTGTCTTAAAAAAACAAAACAAAAGACTGCCATTTAGCAAGTAAAGACAGTTGAATGGAAAGAGAATAATGCTTAGGGAAGGGAAAATTTGCCAGAACAGGACCTCACAACCCAAAATTACGCTGCCGAATGAAAGATGGACCATATGCAAAAGAGAAAGATGCCTTGGTTCTATAGAAAGACTTTTCAGCAGAGAGTTAAAATCTTATTATAATAAGATCACTGGTCCTCAGGCTTTATAACCTAAGATGTCATGGATGAAAGCTTAGCTTCCTATTGCATGTGGCCCTCCGAGCTGATTTAAGAGTACAGTTGTTTAAAAAGATGAATTGTAATATTTTAATGTGATATAAATCTAGTATAGTATATGCTTTCCTTTTAAGAAATTGCCTTTGGTTTTTAGTACACTAACTGTGAATATGTAAATCTCTAATTTTCTCCTACTCAGGTACCACATTTATTGACACTTCTGTTAATATCCTGTCATCCAGTTCTAGAGTTTCAGGGGAGGTGCCGGTGTGTCTGCACCACTCTCTCCCTGCTCTTTTCCCAGGCAACCTACTTAGAGTTACAGATGCTTAATATGGTGGCCATCCCAATCAACAATTTTCTAATAAGAAAGTGGCATATTGGTAAATAAACAGCTGACAAATGTGCAGTTTGATAGAAGTAAACTTTTTTTAACCCAAGTTTGTATTGAGCCCAGACCTAATAAGCACAAGATATGTGCAGGAGGGAGTGGAGTTTAGTAGAACCAAATTGAAAAGACTGGAGCTGGAAAAGTATGTAGTAGGCTCTGTGTAACTGGGAGGAGACAGTAAGGTTAACAGAACAGAGGTTGCCCAACCAATGATGCTGGGGGCTTTTTTCCTCTTCCACTTCTGTCTCTGCCTTTTATTAGCTCTGTGACCTAACAAAGTTGTTGGGAGAATTAGAGACAATATTTTGCTATCTTAAATAAAGGTAGAGCAAAGCTGTGTGTTGAACTTCTTTTGAATCTTTCATAATACATTGATGAGCATAGAATAGGCATATAGTAAATACTGAGTTGGTTGATAGGAGAATTTAGTGTTTGCATTTAAGAGAAGCTAATTTTAGAAGTACTTTACTATCTGTAAGTTGATAATAGTAAATTTGTAAGAAGTGTTGGTTATAATTTAAAATTTACTATGTCAAAACAAATGATTTCCAAATGAAATAATGTAAACATCCATAAACATTAATTTGTTTATGTAATAAATGTCATCTATTGCAACAATTTTGCCTCCAGAAAAAAAATGCTGTTTCAAAAGTTAGTGGTTAAAGATAGATTATCTCTGGAGGGTAGAATTATAGGGGGGTTTTACTTTTTAGACTAAATATTTCTTTTTAGTGTGCAGTTTTTTAAAAGTACATTACTTTTTTTTTTTTTTTTTGAGACAGAGTCTCACTGTGTTGCCCTGGGTAGAGTGCCGTGGCGTCATCATAGCTCACAGCAACCTCAAACTCGTGGGCTTAAGCAATCCTTCTGCCTCAGCCTCCCAAGTAGCTGAGACTACAGGCATGCGCCACCATGCCCGGCTAATTTTTTCTATATATTTTTAGTTGTCCAACTCATTTCTTTCTATTTTTAGTAGAGACAGGGTCTCGCTCTTGCTCAGGCTGGTTTCGAACTCCTGAGCTCAAACAATCCGCCCGCCTCGGTCTCCCAGAGAGCTAGGATTACAGGCGTGAGCCACCGCGCCCGGCCAAAAGTACATTACTTTTTAAATGAGAAACAAATTTAAATTGGTGTTAGAGATAGATATTTAAAATAACTACTTGGCTGAGATTTGCTGAAGTTCCTATGTGTGTTTATGCAGGGAAAACCTGAAGGCAGTAACAAACACTGAAGACAGAGAAATGAGGAAAAAGAAGGAAGAATATTTAACTTTTAGTCCTCTTACAGTTATAATATTTGTGGTCATCTGCTGTGTTATGATGGTCTTACTTTATTTCTTCTACAAATGGTTGGGTAAGAACTCATATTTTATGTTTACTACTTTTAGCATACATTCTTTTCATTGACTTTACCAGATCTTTTTCCTTTAAAGCATAATTGTCAGAGTGTAATGTCTCTATTACTATGAAGATAAAAAATTTTCAGATTAAAAATATACTGTGTTTTGAGATAAAAATACTTCTTCCTGGATGACTTGAAAGAATTGCTATGGTCCGTAAGTTTCCCTCTCTGCAGATAAAGAACCATAGCTCAGTATCTAAGCAGTGAACTGAGGAGTTCTTGGTGGCTGTATTTAGTATTATTCAGATTACTGATTTATTGCCTCTGCTTACCCCCAAAGTGTAATTTATCCTTTTGTCTTTTTGCAAATCAACATGTTGTATTGCTTGAATTTTGTTTTACTGTACGAGCAGTTAGGATCATACTGTATCTGAAGACACAGGTACTTGCCTGTGGTCTAGAGAATAACTGGTACTTTTTTCCCTTTAAGAAAGAAGGGGTAGTAACTGTAATGGCTTGCCTGTTCCCTGGACAATCTTCTTAATGGTCTGACAGGATATAAATTTGCCATCCCTGGCCACGATACAGCACAAAAAGGAGGGAGACCAGGGAAAAGGAGAGTGTGCCTGATAAGAACCAGCAAAAACCCTTGTAAAACCCACTGAGAGCTACAGTGCTTATTTGGAGAACATTAGCATAAATTTCTGGACTAGAAAACTAAGGCCCTGGGATTAGTTTCAGTTTGTTGTTCAATTTCTCCTCTCCTGTCGCAGCAATTTAAAAACTAGACCTATGACATGTATTTCCAATATTAAAAAAATATCATGACCAGCCTGAGGAAGAGTGAGACCCCGTCTCTATTAAAAATAGAAAAAAATAAGTCAGGCGTGGTGGCTCATGCCTGTAGTCCCAACTACTCAGGAGGCTGAGGCAGGAGGATCGCTTGAGCCCAGGAGTTTGAGGTTGCTGTGAGCTAGGCTGACGCTACGGCACTCAAGCCTGGGCAGCAGAGTAAGACTCTGTCTCAAAAAAAAAAAAAGAAAAAGAAAAAAAGATGGCTGTCTAGATTACTCTCTCTTTCTCACCTACGGAACAGAGCTATAGTTTTCTGAAGTTAACTGTAATAGAATTTGAAAAATGCCACTATAATTTATATTTCCAAGATGAAATTTTGAGAAAGTTGGGGAAAAGAATGTTTTTATTTAAAGTACAATAATTCCCTCCCTCCTTTTAACAACAAAGAGGCCAAATTATTTATTTGTTTATTATATTTTTAAATTTTTTTTGAGACAGCCTCTTGCTCTGTTGCCTGGGCTAGAGTGCAGTGGCGTTATCATAGCTCACTGCAACCTCAAACTCCTGGGCTCAAGCAATCCTCTTGCCTCAGCCTCCCCAGTAGCTGTGATTACAGGTGTGTACCACCACACCTGGTTAATTTTTCTATTTTTTGTAGAGACAGGGTCTCACTCTTGCTCAGGCTGGTCTTGAACTCCTGACCTCAAGCGATCCTCCCTCTTGGCCTCCCAAAGTGCTGGGATTACAGGTGTGAGCCACTGCGCCCAGCCAGATTTGGTTTTATCTGGTCAAGTTATTATAGATAAATCAGCCATAGGAGAATATTGTTAGCATCGTTAATGTCTAAGGTGGGTGTTAGTTCTCATCCCTAAATTGCATTTTTAAATGTATTTCTTAGTGGTTTATTAGTTCTTCCATTCCTTACATTTAAATGAAATATTCATAAATGTCTATAACTCACTTCATAGAGATCTTTAACAAACATGTCAGCTTGGAATCATTGAGTGATAGAAAATATAGAGCCGGCTTCAACCCCTTAAACAATCCTACCAATGTATAATAAAACAAAAACAATACATAAAGTAACCACTCTTAAAACTCAAGATCTAAATATTTTCAGCTTAGTAACTAATTCAGGTAATAATATGGTCACTGCATTCAAAGTATCATGATCCAATAAAGAAACCTAAGGAATTAATATTGCTTGTGTAAATATCTTCTTACCACATTTCCTTCCGTTCTCATTCAGTGTCTTGTTTTTTTCTAGTTTATGTTATGATAGCAATTTTCTGCATAGCATCAGCAATGAGTCTGTACAACTGTCTTGCCGCACTAATTCGTAAGATACCATGTGGACAATGCACGTATGTATCTCTTCTAATGTTGGTATTTATAATTTAAAAAAAATACAAAGAAAATTAGTATTATTTTAAATCTGTGCAGTCCGATATACATTGGACTTATGGTTTAAATTTAAATTAATTAAAGTTAAAATTAAAAATTCAGTTTCTCATTCTCATTAGCCTCATTTCAAGTGCTCAATAGCCACATACGGCTAGTAGCTACTGTATTGAACAGCACAGACATAGTACATTTTCATCATCAAAGAAAGTTCTATCACACTGGTAAATATTTTATTATGTCTTATTTGTTTTACTTAAAATCAAGACTTAAATTGGTATTTCAGTCACTGCTTATGACTATAGTTAATATTTGCCAGTTCTTATATCAAGTGAACATTGTATTTCATCTGCAATGTAAACTAAACTGTTTCAATCTTTTTTTTAGGATTGTGTGTTGTGGAAAAAGCATTGAAGTGAGACTTATTTTTCTCTCTGGACTATGCATAGCAACAGCTGCCGTTTGGGCTGTATTTCGAAATGAAGATAGGTATGAATGTTCAATGTATTTGCTTTTAGATTAAGGATGGATTTTTTAATACCTTATCCTGAGACTTATTCATTATGATTATCATGGCATTTTTTCGCTTTTATCCGAACACCAATCTTGAAACAAGCTACTTTTGAAATAAGCAGATCTTATGTTAATGGATTTGAACTCATATAGAGAAGGAAATATGAATTATGATTTAAACATCTAGACTGAAATTAGACTTTAAAAATACACCTAATTGTATATGTGTGTATAGCCACACAATGGAGTGCATGCAGTGCAACTCTAAAGAATGAAGAAGATCTCTATGAATTGATATGCAATGATTTCCAGGATATATTTTTAAGAGAAAAAAGCAAAGTCCAAAAAATATGTAGAGTATACTACCTTTTATATAAGAAAGGAGATATAAGAAAATATATAGGTATCTGACCATTTGCAGGAAGGATAACCAGAAAAAATATATACTTAGGTTTATTTAATGGTTTATTAATAAAATTATTGAAGATTTAATGGCCTAAAATTTGAGAAACAAAGTTCATGCAACTTTAGGTAGCTTCAGGTATGGTAATCAGCTGATAACTATGCATGTCAATTTCTGATAAGTTGCATAGCTCTCATTTCCTATATGTTCAAGTTGAATAGTCAAATTATAGTAATTAAATGGTATTACTTCTTTTGAAAAGTTTCATCTGAAAATAACTAGATAAAGCAATAAATAATATCTTGATTTTAGGTGGGCTTGGATTTTACAGGATATCTTGGGGATTGCTTTCTGTCTGAATTTAATTAAAACACTGAAGTTACCCAACTTCAAGGTAAAGTAAACTTTTTTTAAAAAATAACTTTATTAAGGTATACTTTACATACAATTAAAAGCACCAGTTTTAAGTGTACTGTTGTTGGTTGAAATTTTACAAATGTATAACTTTGTAACCACCATCCCAGTAAAGTTATAGAACATTTCTCATCTCTTCAAAAAGTTCTGTGATGGCCTTTTGCAACCAGTCCTAACCCCCAGGCCTGGGCAACCATTGATTTGCTAGCTAAAATATTTTTAATCATTCATATAATATGCCAAATTCGTAAAATCTTTACAAGACTAAATAATCAGAGAACATTGCTTTGATTCAGTGATTTAAAAAAAGTGAGGTGAAGGTAAGGGTTTGTTTGGGGTATGTTTGTAGAGAGAGGGTCTCACTCTGTCACCCAGGCTGGAGTGCTGTGGCCTGATCATGCTCACTGCAGCCTCGAACTTCTGGGCTCAAGTGATCCTCCTGCCTCAGCCTCCTGAGTAGCTGGGAGTACAGGCATGTGCTACTGTGCCTGGCTAATTTTTCTATTTTTTGTAGAGATGGGAGTTTTGCTATATTGCCCAGGCTGGTCTCAAACTCCTGGCCTCAAGGGATCCTCCTGCCTCAGCCTCCCAAAGTGCTGGGATTATAGGCATGAGCCACTGTGCCCAGCCAAGATAAGGGTTTTAATGTGTTTTATAGAATAAAACTATACATAGTAATAACTATAAAATACCTTTCTAAAAAATAGTATTCAAATATATATTCACATGTTTATTTGTATTTATAAAATAATTTAATCTCTTAATTTAGATGTGGGAAGATTGACCTTTAAATTTGTTTCTTTCTTCAACAGTCATGTGTGATACTTCTAGGCCTTCTCCTCCTCTATGATGTATTTTTTGTTTTCATAACACCATTCATCACAAAGGTATGACCATATTTTTGAAATTCATTAGGAAACATGCTAAAAGATGATGCTTTTAGATTATTAATTTCAAGGTCATTGAAATTAGTTTTTAATAGAGGGTATTTTCAAGCCTTTAATCCATTTTTGTTAGATTAAAAATGTCTCCTGACATGTAAATATGAAAATGTCTGTAATTTTTCTTCTCTTTTTTTTTTTTTTTTTTTTTTTGACAGAGTCTCACTGTGTTGCCCGGGCTAGAGTGCCGTGGCGTCATCCTAGCTCACAGCAACCTCAAACTCCTGGGCTCAAGCAATCCTTCTGCCTCAGCCTCCCGAGTAGCTGGGACTACAGGCATGCGCCACCATGCCCGGCTAATTTTTTCTATGTATTTTTAGTTGTCCAATTAATTTTTTTTTTTTCTAATTTTAGTAGAGACGGGGTCTCACTCTTGCTCAGGCTGGTTTCGAACTCCTGAACTCAAACAATCCGCCCGCCTCGGCCTCCCAGAGAGCTAGGATTACAGGCGTGAGCCACCGCGCCCGGCCTTTCTTCTCTTTTTTAAAGTGATTTTTTTGACTTTTCTTATTAATGTTTACTGTAGAGAGAGAGAAAAAAAAAAAATGTCATTGCTACGTTCATTTCCGAAATCCTAGCTTGAGACTAAGAAAGAGGAGCACATTAGATGTCTGAAGGCCTGGAGTATAGCTCTGTAACCTTGCAACCCTGGGCTATTTTTAATCCATTGTGTGAGAGTATTACTAGCTTTTCATCCTCTCGCCCCCAACAATAGAGTTCTTTTGTTTGCAACTGACAGAACCCAACCTAAGCCTTCTATACCAAAGAGGTCCCATGTATCCAGGTTGCATGTAGAGGTCCGGGTGGGGAGAAACTTGACCCAGGGCCACATGCTTGCCCTTTTTGCTTCTGTCCATTTGTTTATTCTCTCAGACTGCCTTTTTCCATGAGGTCAGAATCATAACATCTAGCAGCTCCTATGTCATATATTCCCAACTCTGTCACTAGCTCCTTAATAAAATGAGGAAGGGTATTGAGTGAGTATGGTAGTCCATTATTTGCCCAATTTTACTACCTTGACCCTTTTCTTGTCTCATAAATATATTATTAATTATTGCTTAATTCTCCCACTTTCCTCTACTTTGAGTCTTGCTCTGTAACTTTATATCATCCCGTTATCTTTTTTTTTCTTCTTTTTCTTTTTTCTTCCCCTTGCCAAACCACCCCCTTCATCCCTTTATCTTTTGTCACTCTCATATACTTAGTATTTGATATTCCCTTTTTTTCTTCCAATTCATTCTTTTATCCATTCTTTCAACTCTACCACCTAGGAAGTCATTGTAAAAATCTGCACTTCTGATATTTGCTATAATGGCATAAGGACAAACATATGCCCTATTGGGAAGCTAAAATTGCAACTAGGTAACAAATATAGTTAACTGCCTCAAATTACAACTGTCCAGACTATTTTACTAGCACTCTTCCATGCATGCATTAATGATGAGCCATTTGACTCATTGACTTAGCTGAACAATAGCAACCTAAAAAAACATAGAATTCGTATTATGGGCTATAACTAAAATTGTTAATTTATTAAAGCATTTTTTAGTTCTCTCCAAAGCTATCCTAGCTTGTATCTATTTACTTAGTTCAAAAATATGTTTTTGCAGGTACCCCATCAGTGAAAGTGTTCTCTCTACAAAGCCTTTCCTATGAATCAGCGGATAATATATAGCATATGACACATATATGACACAGTAGATAGAGCTATAAACTGTAACTAAACTCTTTTTAAAAATAATTTTTCCATTCTAACGTTAGTATCACTTTATGAATACCAAACATATCTGCCAGCAAATGATTTCCATTCCCTACACATGAAATGGTTTAGAATTTCAAAGTTAACAGATAAAGGTGGTTTTGAGCATCCTTTCTTTCTTATGTACTTAGGAAATTCTTCATCTTCTGTTTTCTGTCTTAGTTCCTACTGAGTAGGAATGTGATTTCTAATAATCTGATACAGTGGAAAAAGCTGACATTCTCTTTGGAGTTCACTGTGACAGATTTACTTTAATACCTTCTTCTGAGTCTGATTTGTTTGTTTTTATTAAGTCTATAGACCTTACTTTAGTAGGGAACTTAAAATGAAAATCAGATATTTAATTGCCGATTTTCATGGTTTGTTTTCTCTATAAATTTGAAGGATTAAATATTGGAATCCTAAACATGTTCTTAACCCAGGGATTAGTGGTCTTCTAGTGAGTTGGCAGGGCAGGCAGGTTGCCGTAGGAGTACAGCAGTAAGAGCTTATCTTATTCACTTTTTTCATTCCCATTGTACTCAGATTGTATCTTGCAGATAGTAGTTACCCAGATATCTGAATTTATGGGAGGATGTCAATGATGATCTTCAGTTAAATGTTTTAAATAACAATTAGAAAATGAACCAAAATGAACTCTTTATCTGGAAATTTGATCACAACCTGGGAATTTGCTTTAAGGAACTGTATTTAGTATTAGTTTATTTTCCTAAACTCCTGTGACTTAACCCTTTTATAACCCAAAGCTTAACATGAGGAAAAGATTTCTGTAGCTAGGGATTTTATCCTTTCTACTGTGCTCAGGTATCAGCGAGGTCCTTTTAAAAACACTCAAGTGATTTCTCCTGTGCACTCCACCCACGTGGAAAATATTTTAGTCGGTCAACTTTTCCTAAAATTTAACATTTGTTTATCTTCTCCCTACCTGTTTTGGTTATATATTTATCTTAATGTGAAACATAAAATGGGTGTTTCATGCAGTCTTAGTTTGATATCTCTAAAGATTTTCCTTCTCCACAACAGACTTGGCTATCAGGAAAAAACTTTTTCATGAACTTCTCACATAGCCCATATAAAAAGACTTGAGCCAGACGCAAGGCAGGGAAATTTAGCTAAAGTTAATGTTTTGATTGGAACATGGAAAGCAGGCGGGGCTGAAATTGGACAAGAATCAGGCTAGAGAAGCTTCTCAGGTTCTATAGGGTTGGGTCTTTTCAAGTGGGTTTTATTGTTTTGTTAGCATGATGAGTAGCCAGAAGTCAAATGTACATTTATTCAAATTAAGTTACCAATATTTGTTACAAAGCTAAATAGAAAAGATTTTAGTATGTCCTTCTTCACTGATATTGCTAAAAATGACTAAGAGCCATAGTATATGACATAATATAACTTAAAGTACTGTACGTAAAATTTATAACCCCTTACAAAAACGTTAGATGTGAATATGTCAGTACGTGTCAGAGCTCAGGGTTCACTTGAATAATCTGTGTGTGGTTCATTCGTCAGTTTCTGATCATTGTTGAGCTCTGATAAAGTGAAGCAGTGTGCCAGGTGAATTTTGTTTTAAATGACTTCAATTTTTGCTATCTGCAGAGACTGTTTTAGGAAAAAAGCCATCTATATCCTATTTTCAGTGAGTTTACAGGAGGCCTTCTACCTTGAGACTTAAATCATTCTTGAATAGTACCAGATTGTTCTCTTTAAGTGATTGGACAACTTCTTTTATCTTCCTCCTCAATTTTAGAATGGTGAGAGTATCATGGTTGAACTTGCAGCTGGACCTTTTGGAAATAACGAAAAGGTAGGGATGGCAATTAGACAGAAATGGCTGCCCAGTGTATGTATGTGTTTCCAGTTAATCATTTTGTCTTCCTGTGTAATTCATTGGTCACGTAGTGCATGCTAAGGTATTGTAAAACTTATTTCTCACAAAATATAGCCCTTTTCTTAGTTATTCTAAATTATTAAATACCTATTGACTTGGGTTTCATCCTAGAATGATGGAAACTTGGTGGAAGCCACTGCTCAACCCTCAGCTCCCCATGAGAAAGTAAGGATTGTATTTCAGATATGTTCATTGGACTTTAAATCACATCCTCTGAGACAGGATTCTTCTTTGGGGAAAAATCCAGATTGCCAAAAAAAAAAAAAAAATCGGTTTCAAGGCCTGAGTCCTAATCTTGGTAAAAAGAGAAAAAAAAGGTTACATGTGGGGATAGTGGATTAATACTGTTAATCCTACATGTGTATTGGGTTTCATTTTTTTCAAAACTACATATCTATTTCTTTCAAGCTTTCTACACATTCAGAGTATATATCTGTTTGCGCCTAGTCTGTGTTCTCTAATTTCAAGTTCTTTTAAAATATCAGTTTTAAAATGTTAAAACAATTATTCTAATATCAGTCGTTCTCTTTCTAAAAGACATGGGTAAAAAATAATTGCTAAGAGGTTTATTGGCAGCCTTCTTCTTCTTCTTTTTTTTGTACAGTTGCCAGTAGTCATCAGAGTACCAAAGCTGATCTATTTCTCAGTAATGAGTGTGTGCCTCATGCCTGTTTCCATACTGGGTTTTGGAGACATTATTGTACCAGGTAAGCAATTGTAACAATTTTAGTAAAAAACATACTGATGGTTTTAAATTGTCATATGTCTGCTAAAAGTTTCCTACTCTGTAGTAATTATTTCTGGCTGTTGCTAGAGCTGGGATTAGTGATAAAGATAGGAAAAAAACTTATCGAGGGGTAGAAGGTAAAGCCGAAATGGTAACAGCCAAGGTACTGTAATGCCTCTCATGGCTCAAAGAGTGTCTTAGAGGAAGCAGCTAGGATCAGTTTAATCTTTTTCCCCAAGAAAAGTATATTTTGTGACTCTTTTTAGAAGTTGAATATAATAATGCCAAACATACAGTTTCTATTATTTCTATTGTAAAATAATAGTTATGTTTTAGGAAAAGAAGTTTAGGAATACTAGGCTATGTCATGATCAAGAGGAGAAATGTAATAGAACACCAGCTTTTAGGGCTTCATATTACAAAAATACTCAGTGTATGGTGGAATCAATCACCTTCTCTTAGCATGTCTTCTCTGACAGTTATTGCAGTTCTGTCATATTTTCCTCACTGGGCTGCCTGTAGAAATGTCATCTGAGCCCAGTAATAATATAGTTTAGAAGCAATTAGTGATATTTCTCTATCAGCTGAGTTTTTCTTTCTTCACTTTTCTTTCAGTCTCCCTATGCACTAACTGCCTGTGGGTGGGTGAGGAGTACTGGCTTTTCTGAAAAAGCCCTTCCATCTACTAGTAAAAGCCAGGTAGAGAGAGAAGCTAGCTGGCAGTGTTGTTTTGTGAGTTGGCATGGCAAAGTCCAATGTACAGCTCTCTTAGTTCAGTGAATCTCCATTCACATAATTGATAAAGTAGAGAAAACATTGTATTGAGTAACCTTGTAATTCCTTGAGTATCTTTAAACTTATCCCTCATTTTGCCAATTGCTCACCAAGTGCTATACAGCAGTGGTCCTCAACCTTTTTGACACCAGGGACTGGTTTCATGGAAGATAGTTTTTCTACAGATGTTGGTAGGGAGTGGGTCGTTGGTGGAGGATGGGTCGCTGCCTGGGCTCCACCTCAGATCATCAGTCATTGGATTCTCATAGAGAGCATGCAACCTGGATCCCTCAGATGTGCAGTTTGCAGTGGGGTTTGTGCTCCTATGAGTGTCTGATGCCACTGATCTGACTGGGGCGAGGCACAGGCGGTCACGCAAATGATGGGGAGCAGCTGTGGGTGCAGGTGGGGCTTCCTGCAGTGTGTCCCGGTTCCTGGCAGGCTGCAGACCAGTGCCAGTCTGCAGCCTGTGGTTTGGGGACCGCAGCTATACAGGATCTTGTATATAGCACTTAGCATAGAATGGGTAAAGACAGTATATAAATATTACATTCTTGAAGTAAATAAATATCAGATGTCTTAAACAGAAATATTTCCCCCAGGAGCAGAGTTATTGGCAATATATGACTTAATCCTAAGATCTAAATTCTAATTTGGGGAGAAAAGAAAATACTATTTTTTTTAAAAAAAATGTGGAAATGTGGTTAAACAGCAAATATACTAGAAATAATGAAATTATTTTATTATTTATGTAGAGACCAAAACTAATTAATTGAAATAACTAATAAAGACAGTCATTACTGTATGATTTTTAAGTGATTAAATGTCATTCTTACTGTGTTTATAACGGTATATATTTAATAAATAAATACAATCTCAAATTTCTTCTTTGGAGAGATTCAATGAATTTCTTATAAGAAATTGGTATTAAATGAGTTTCTGCATACTTGCACATTTACAAATGAAAGCTTATATTTCATTATTATTTGAACTCTTTGTATTAAAACTCCAAATCATTTTATTCTACTAGGAAGGGAGACTTTTTGATCACAATTTGAAATTGCCTTCCTTGATGCCCTTTCAGTACATATTTTTTAAATGTTTTACTTGTTTAAATTGATAAATAAAAATTATATATATTTGTTGTGTAAAACATGTTCTGAAATATGTATGCATTGTGGAATGGCTAAATCAAGCCAGTTAAGATATGCATTACCTCACATGCTTATCATTTTTTTTGTGTGGTAAGAACACTTAAAATCCAGTCTCTTAGCAATTTTTAAGAATACAATTCATTACCTTTGAAATCTTATTAAAAAAATACAATTTGTTGCTATTAACTGTAGTCACCATGTTGTGCAATAGATCTCTTGAACTTATTCTTCCTATACAAATGAAATTTTTTATCCTTTGACCAATGTCTCCCCAACTCTCCCACCCCAGCCCCTGGTGGCCACCATTCTACTCTCTACTTCTAAAGCTCAACTTTTTTAGATTCCACATGTAGGTGAGATTATAATGGTATTTGTCTTTCTGTACCTGGCTTATTTCACTTAATGTAAGATCTTGTGGGTTTATCCATGTTGTCACAAATAACAGGATTTCCTTCTTTTTCAATCCTGAATTTGTGTATATATGCCACATTTTCTTTATTTATTCATCCACTGAGGGACACGTAGGTTGATTCCATATCTTGGCTATTGCGAATAGTGCTACAATGAACATGGGAGTGCAGATATCTCTCTGACATACTGATTTCAATTCCTTTCAATATATCCCCAGTAGTAGGATTGCTGGATCATATGGTAGTTCTATTTTTAATTTTCTGAGGAACCTGTTTTTCACAATGGATGTAGTAATGCTCATTCCCACCAACAATCTGTGAAGATTCCCTTTTCTTCATATCCTCTCCAACACTTACCTTGCATATTTTTAATAATAGCCATTCTAACAGGTGTGAAGGGATATCTCATTGTGGTTTTAATTTGCATTTCTCTGATGATTAGTGATTCTGAACATTTTTTCCATATACTTATTGACTGTATTATATCTTTTGAGAATTGTCTACACATATCCTTTGCCCATTTTTAATTGGGTTATTTGTTTAATTGCTCTTGATTTTTTTGAGTTCTTTATATATTTTACATATTAACCACTTATTAGATGTATAATTTACACATGTTTTCTCCCATTCTGTAGGTTGTCTCTTCAGTCTGTTGATGATTTCCTTGGCTGTGCAGAAGCTTTTTAGTTTGTTGTAATCCCATTTGTCTATTCAATACGTTAAAAAAATTTTTTTTTAATAAGAGGGTCTCACTTTGTTGCCCAGGCTGGATTCGAACTCCTGGCCTCAAGGGATTCTCCAGCCTTAGCCACCGGAGTAGCTGGGACTGCGGTCCCATGCCACTGTGCCTGGCCAATGCATTTTCTCCATGACATGGAATATTGAGCTGTTTAATGGCTTGGAAAATGTTTAAAATATGGTCTCTTAAGCTTTTAACCTACATTGTGAGAAATAAATAAAATAAAATACGGTCTTTTTTAAAAAAAAATTTTTTTAATTTTTTAAATTTTCTAAAAATTTTTTAGAAACAGGGTTTCACCCTGTCGCTCAGGCTGAAGTGTAATGACATGATCATAGTTTACTGTAACCTCAAACTCCTGGGCTCAAGCAATCCTCCTGCCTTAGCCTCCCAAATACCCGGGACTACAGGCATGTACTACCATGCCTGCCTAATTTAAAAATTTTTTTTGTGTAGCCACAGGCTCTCGCTGTGTTGTCCAGGCTAGTCTTGAACTCTTGTCATAAAACGATCCTCCCATCTTGGCCTCCCAAAGTGCTGGGATTATAGGCATGAGCCACCATGGCTGGCCCCAAAATATGGTCTTAAATTTTTTAAAAAATCAGTATGTAAAACTCTGTCCAGAATTTGAGATACGTTAATGTTCGCCTGAGGCAAAAATGAAAATTATATACAATACAGCATATACTGTTACCATAGTTAACAATTGAATTTGTGTTATTGTTGTTGTTTTAAGAAAATAATGTGGAGTTTTTTTCTTTTTTTAGGCCTGTTGATTGCATACTGTAGAAGATTTGATGTTCAGACTGGTTCTTCTTCTATATATTATGTTTCCTCCACAATTGGTAAATTTTGTTTTTTCTTTTTATTATGTTGAATTGTATCATCTGGAGGGAAAAGGCAGAGGTCTAAAATGAAGGAGTCCAGGATTCTGATTCTTTGCCATTAATCAATAAGTTCATCCATCAAAAGGGATTATACTTTACTATTTATATCATAAAGTTTTAGAGACTGAAAAAGGAAATTGGATGTAAAAGAAAAAAATTAGATTGTATATATAAATGCTTATTGGAACATCTGGCACATAAGTGGTCAATAAATTGCATATTACTAGATTTTTAAAAATAGTATGTTGGTAATTATGTATTTATTTAAATGAATTTATAGCAAAATAACATCTCATCTGGATAGCAGAAGTAGTCATCACTTATCCCTCTATTTCTATTATTGTGAACAGAATTAAGAACAGTAAATAAGCCAAAAAATACCCTGGTACATCTGAACATATCAAATAGATATTTCAAAGTTCATATACCAAAGCTCTTTATACTTAGATAAATGGCCTGTACCGGAGCCATTTAGATACTGTTCTAGCAAGATTTTCAAGTCCCTGGTGGAATTAAATCCAGTAAATTAAAAGTATATATTAGTAGAAGAGAAGGGTATTGCTAGAAATAGGTACCTTGACAGCAAGAAAATAGCTAAGTGAGGGAGAAGATGAAGGGGGAAAAAAACTATAAAGAAAAAAGAAAAGCAGTTTGGGGCCACTAAATATAGTACTTTCTAAGGGAATTGATATATTAGAGTCTAGTACCAGTCAGTGTGATAGAATATAAGAACACTCGGCCAGGCGCGGTGGCTCATGCCTGTAATCCTAGCACTCTGGGAGGCCGAGGCGGGTGGATCGTTTGAGCTCAGGAGTTCGAGACCAGCCTGAGCAAGAGCAAGACCCCGTCTCTCCTAAAAACAGAAAGAAATTAGCTGGACAACTAAAAACATACAGAAAAAATTAGCCGGGCATGGTGGCGCATGCCTGTAGTCGCAGCTACTTGGGAGGCTGAGGCAGAAGGATTGCTTGAGCCCAGGAGTTTGAGGTTGCTGTGAGCTAGGCTGACGTCACGGCACTCTAGCCTGGGCAACAGAGTGAGACTCTGTCTCAAAAAAAATTTTAAAAACTTAAAAAAAAAAAAAGGAATATAAGAACACTCAATGAAAAGGCAGCTTATAGGAGTATTCATTTGTAAATTTGGGCAAATCACTTAAACTCCCTGGTCCTGCATTGCCTCATCTTTAAATTGAGCCCAGGAGTTTGAGGTTGCTGTGAGCTAGGCTGACACCACGGCACTCTAGCCCCGGCAACAGAGTGAGACTCTGTCTCAAAAAAAATTTTAAAAACTTAAAAAAAAAAAAAGAATATAAGAACACTCAATGAAAAGGCAGCTTATAGGAGTATTCATTCATTCTGCTGTGTAAATTTGGGCAAATCACTTAAACTCTCTGGTCCTCCATTGCCTCATCTTTAAAATGAGGAGCTAGATTAAATTGTCTATAAAGTTTCCAATATTCTGAGATTGTGTATACATAAGGAAACCTTGAGTCATTAAGAAAAGTTCAAATGATGTTTGGTGTAAGCTTGTTAAAGAATGTTATGAAGTATGTAATAAATATTAGGAAGATTTTTCAAAACAACCTTTAGTACCTATGCATACACATTTAGTTATCTAAAAATGTGGAACCACTCAACGTCCTTAACAATGACAGATAATTGAGACTTTCTTGAATTATACTCTTTATCAATGATTAATGGTTAAGTTAGTAATAATTAAAATACTAACCAGTTTCCAAATTTTTCAAAACCTCCATAGAATATCTCTCCATATTACTGCCTAAGAGAATAATGAAATTATGATAAGAAATCATAGTACAAAAATGTCCTCAGAAATATTTGAAAACCAATACTTCAATGAGGAATGAAAAACCCACCTTTGATAACATATAGAAATGACTGATAACTTGGTATTATTCTTGCAGCCTATGCTGTTGGCATGATACTTACATTTGTTGTTCTGGTGCTGATGAAAAAGGGGCAACCCGCTCTCCTCTATTTAGTACCTTGCACACTTATTACTGCCTCAATTGTTGCTTGGAGACGTAAGGAAATGAAAAAGTTCTGGAAAGGTACCAACTATGAGGTATGTGCTTTCATTTTGGTTACCAAGTTATGACATAATTCACTGGCAGAGTGTGAATGGGAATAGCCTATATATATATATCAAAGCTTTTATGTACCAAAAAGTTACCTTGGATCTGTCAGAATGTTCTAAGTAATCAAGAGATGATTTAAAGGATGTGGGAGGATGTACATAGGTTATATGTAAATGCAGTGCCATCTTATATGAAAGGGACTTGAGCATCCTTGGATTTTGGTGTCTGGGGGGGTCCTGGAACTATGGATACCGGGGGGGTGGCTGTACGACTCCTTACTCACTGTCCACCTGTTGCATCATCAGTTCTCACCTCCACTGCAGTCCAATGCCAAAAGCCTCGCTACTCAAGACAAAACTACCAAAAAGCAATGGGAGGCCGGGCGCGGTGGCTCACGCCTGTAATCCTAGCTCTCTGGGAGGCCGAGGCAGGCGGATTGTTTGAGCTCAGGAGTTCGAAACCAGCCTGAGCAAGAGCGAGACCCCGTCTCTACTAAAATTAGAAAGAAATTAATTGGACAACTAAAAATATATAGAAAAAAAAAATTAGCCGGGCATGGTGGCGCATGCCTGTAGTCCCAGCTACTCGGGAGGCTGAGGCAGGAGGATCGCTTGAACCCAGGAGTTTGAGGTTGCTGTGAGCTAGGATGACGCCACGGCACTCTAGCCCAGGCAACACAGTGAGACTCTGTCTCAAAAAAAAAAAAAAAAAAAAAAGCAATGGGAGAGCATCAGGGGGAAACAAAACAATATTTCAACATGCATCTTCAAAATCTACATAAAAGTAGACTTCATGAAAGAAGAAACTATGTTTAAAATAACATAGTTATTTTGAGACTGACATTAGCTACTTATAGTAAAAGTCCTGATGTTTTGCAAATAAAAAGTATACTCTATCCAGCATCTAAACAGGCCTAACTAAACTGGACAGGGCACTCATTTCAGATTTAAATGGATCTAGGTGGATCTTTCTTTAAAATTCCTAGAACAAAGAAAATCTTGATAACATAATCTTATTGTATTTGTTTCTTCATTGAAGTTAAGCTCCTTTCTTTTTTTCATAAATGTTCTTGGTATTCCAGTACAATCTGTTTGCATTGAAATTAAGGAGGGTTGAGAAACGCTAGCCTATTGAGGTCAGGGCTATGACATTGACCCCAAAAAAAGTGAAAGCACTTTGTGAGGCAGTTAGCCTCTGCTTTGCCCTATTAGAACAAACTACCCTCCTCCATCCACCCACATGCATGTGTGTCAGTGACCACATGAACAAAAAGAGAGATACTTTGGGTTGGGTGGCTGCAATTCTGATAGTAGATAAACAGTTCAAAGTTCATGTCCATCTTGTGGTTGGTCTGTAATGTCATTTGTAGTGTTACTTAATGAGAGATGGTTAATACATTAAGTGTCAGGCTACTATAATTAGAAAAAATACTGGTTTAGAATTCTTTTAGGGAAATCTTGTAATTTCTTTTAGATTTAGTTAGTACTTGCCTGGTCTACCTCACAAAGCTGTTGTCTCAACTTATACTAATATACATAGAATTTGAGGTCCTTGACTAAATTAGTAAGATAGCTTTTTTCCACAAGGATGACACCCACATAAATTTATTTATTTATTTGTTTGTTTGTTTATTTATTTTTTAAATAGGGAGATGGGGTCTCGCTCTTGCTCAGGCTGGTCTTGAACCCCTGACCTCAAGCGATCCTCCTGCGTTGGCTTCCCAGAGTGCTAGGATTACAGGCATGAGCCACTACGCCGGCCAGATTTTTTTATTTTTATAGATTTTTTTTAAAATAGCAGTGTGTCCTACAATATACGCACCCTACTACTAATCTTTGAAAGTCACATCTCAAAAAGTGCTCTTCTTTTTTTAGTAGTTTTATATTTCTTCATTTAACAAATGTTTACTGAGCAGTTCTATCAGCTGGGTACTATTTTAGGTATTGGTGATACAAGATGATCAAGTTAAAAACAGGCCTATCCTCATGACCTCTTGAAAGTTACAGTCTAGTGAGGAATGCAGATAGAGTCACTATTAAAGTGTGATAAATGTATTAGTTGTAGGTGCCATGAAAGCTAGAAATGGGGCATCTAGTGCTTGTGGTTTCTGGACAGGGTCATAGGTGATTTGGGGAAGGCTTCCTAAAGAATGTTAAATTTATGTTGAGACTTTAAGACTGAACTAATGTTCAATGTTTAAGGAACCGTGTCTTTAAAGGCTCAGGGGGAAAAGAACATGGCACATCCTAGGAACTGAATGAATTTTGGGATAACTATAATATTGAATAAGGGTAGGGGAATTGCAGGAAATGAAAATGAGAAAGAAGCTAGGGTAAGAGCCTTGTAGGGGTTCTTTTTTTTTTTTGAGACAGAGTCTCACTCTGTTGCCGGACTAGAGTGCCGTGGCGTCAGCCTAAGCTTGCGGCAGCCTCAAAGTCCTGAGCTCAAATGAGCCACCCGCCTTGGCCTCCCAGAGTGCTATGATTACAGGCATGGCCACCGCGCCCGGCCCCCTTGTAGGCTTACTCTTGTAAGCCACACTAAACAGTTTGGATTCTATCCTAAGAGCACTGGATCCCATTTAAGAGTTTTAAAAATAAATCTAGACAATGGATTAAAGAAGGTAGCAAAACTGGGGACACTTATTGTGATGAGACACAATAGAAGCCTAAATTAGTAAAGTAATGAGATAGAAGTGGACAAAGTCAAGAGAAGTTTAGAGGTATAATTCCTTCCTTCCTTTCTTCCTCCCTTCTTCCCTTCCTCCCTCGCTTCCTTCCTTCCTTCCTTCCACAATCATAGCTTACTGCAGCCTTGAACTCCTGGGCTCAAGCGATCCTCTTGCCTCATTGTCCTTAGTAGCTAGGACTACAGGCATGGCCACCACGCCCAGCCAATTCTTTTGTTTTTCTTTTTTTTTTTTTTTTTTAGAGACAGGGTCTCACTATGTTGCCCAGGCTGGTCTCAAACTACAAACCTTAAGCGATCCTCCCACCTTGGCCTCCCAAAGTGCTGGGGTTTCAGGGGTGAGCCACTGTGCCCAGCCTCGGAGGCATAATTAATGGGGTCTGATGATGGATCCAGTGTGGGGAGAGGAAAAGGAAATAGAGTCTGGGGCTTTTGGCTTTGGAAACTGAGTGGGTGGATGGTGACACTGTTCACTGAGATAAATGAAAGGCAACAGGGTTGAGGAAGAAGATGATGAATTCAGTGTTGGGCATGTTAAATATTGGAAATGAATTCAATGTTGGACATTTTGAACTACCTATAGGACCACCAGGAAAAGAGAAATAATAAGCAGCTGAATAAGTGGGTCTGATGTGCAAGAGATAGACCTGGCTAGAGATAGAGACAAAAATTTGGGAGTGTCATTAGCATGCTAGGTAAAATGAATGAGAATGTAGTGGAGAAGATAAGACCCAGGACAGAATTGTGAGCAAGAAGTTTCTACTGTCAGGAGCAATTCTCTGAGTAACTGAGAGGTAAATCAGGAGAAAGAAGACAAGCAACGTGGGGAAATTTTGTTTAGAGTTGGCATTAAATCCTTACTTAGTTTAGGATTTAAATTTGAGACCGTTAGAGCACATGTGCTATCTTACAAAATTATTTATGTTTCTTGTT